GAACCAGGAACCAACCGAACCAGGAACCAACCGAACCGGGAACCAACTGAGAACCAGCGGAGCTAAGAACCAACCGGGCCACGCGCTAACCTTCGCCGGGAACCGGTCGCCGCCTTTCTTTTCCTTTCGATCAGCATTCTTCCGACTCGATTCTGAATTCTTACAGTTAGGCAAGTAGTACAAGCACAACTTGCGAGGCGAGTTGGGGGTCGTTCAGTCATTGCCGCTTCAAAATTATCATAAGCTCGCGGTGCACTGCTAGTCCCGGCCTTCCCTCGGGTGGATGTATGGTAGGCCACTAGTCTTTGGGAGGGGCGTCGGAACGTTTTGTGAACATTCGCCACTATGTAGGTAGCCCCTGACGCTGAGACGCCTTATCTCTAGCTAGAAGCCATTACTGAGTTGTACCCCCGCATCGTCTTCGATGCGGACCCAATTTTTTGGGTTTTTCGTTTTTGATATAGATCGGCTTCGTTTTTTAGCAGTCTTCTCACACACCTCTGACGCCCTTGCTGTTCGCAAGACTTTACAGAAGGTGAGGGTCTCTTTACGTCCCAGAACAAGTCTACTAATTGAGTACATTTGATTTAGAAAAAAGAGGGAGAGTGCACCATTGAAAAAGAAGAAAGAGAGAGAGACAGATAAAAAAGCGAGTGCGGGATTCTGCGTATTCTGTAATAGAGCTCCTTTTTGGGTATTTACACTTGTGAAACTGTATCGTCCCGCCGGTGGTCTAGGAGTACCACTAGGGATGCCAATCAATCAAGAGCGAGCACCACGACGAAAAAAAAAAGTGAAGATACGCCTCCCTTTTACTACTAGTTGTTGTTTGCGGTGTATGCTTTGTAGAACAAAGTGGGAATGATAATTTCTCACGGACTTGTACAGCACAATATGACAACGGTCTGGCTTAGGGTTTAGGGGGGAAAACGTTAGAAATTATACACGATGAGCGTCTCTTCATCTCGCATCAGTGTGCACCGGTTGTGAGGAGTTCTTACAAGAACATAGATCAGGATGTTCTACTACTCTGGAGGGTCACGAGTGCAAGAAGGCGGCTCCTTTCTTAAGGCTCTCAAATAGATTCATCTTCAAATTCTAACTTGACTTCTCCTTCGGATTATCTCTTCGAAGGAAAATCTTAAGAAGAAGACGCAAGAAAAATTAGGAGAAGAGTTATGTACTTATTTCTGAGCTTTTCTAACTTGCGCTACTTGCGGGGTCGGTTCACGCCTCATGCGCAGATCGTGGCCGCTGGAGAACGTCAAGGTGAACGCCTCGTCGCGAAGGATGACTACAACATTACCTACACCACGACGCATGGTGGTGCCTATCATCCTGTTCTTTCGCGAATGATGCTAACGAAATAGACCATAGACATTCAGATCTTTCGTGTGTTTACGCGAAAAGTAGTTGCATTCTCTAAATTCTAGTTCTTCTAGTCTAACTTCTTAACTTAAGTAACCTTAAATGCTTTCGGACTACCAATACAACAGCCCTGTCACAAGAAGAACGAGCTAGGTCAGCAACTCCACTGGTGCAAGACGAGGAAAAAGAAGACAGTTGTACTGCAGAGATGTATACGTGGATGTTGCGGGACCTGCCATGCCGGTTTACACAAGACCAGTTACGTGAGATTTTGGACTCAAAATTCGGACTGCGTGGAAAATACAATTTTCTCTACCTACCTATGGATCTGAGAATTCGAAACAAAAAAGTACTATTCCCGTTTTGTTCTGTAAGAATAGGTTCGCTTTGATAATATAATTTGATAAAGTTCTTGTAAGTAGTACCTACTAGAACAATGAAGATTTTTTCTTGTGACGTAATTTCGTACAACATTTGCCAGTAGCAATAACAACCATAATTTTTATCTTCAAGAGCAACAGCACCCATTTTCACCAGGGCGCGAATCGCGGCTACGGGTTTATTAACCTATCTCGGAAAGAGGATTCCACACTGCTGTTTTCTCTCCTGCATGGGCGCGTGATTTAAGGAGGTATCATCAATTACACCTTCCACCTCATCAATTCCGCCTGCCTCTTTTTCTAGTACCTAGAAAGAGGTGGGGGAATCCTCTGATTCCGGAGAGTGTAATCATGTTCTTGCAATCTTTAAGTCATTCCAGGGAGTGAGTCCACGAAAGTGTCTCACCTCGGACCAGCAAGAATTCAGGGACTTTTCGCAAACCTGCTTTTCTACAAAAGTCAATTTGTGCTTGACGACAAGGCTAGCTCAACTTCTCATCACTCCGGAAATTCGAATTTTGAAGGAGCAAAAGATGTTGTCAACAGCGCTGCAGGTTACAACAACTGCACTTCTGCACCGAGCAGTAGTAGTTCGAGCGCACAGAGCAGCAGCTGTGGTAGCCGAGCTCGTCTAGCAGATTCCGAGTTATCTCAGAATGGCGATAAGGCACTTGCGCTAGAACTTGATGAATCATCGACGTCGGCAGCAGAGCCACATCTTGTGCCGGTTGTTTCGACTATCGTGCAGGCAGGCGGACGGGAGATAAGATTGCGCCTCTTGCTACCTTCTGGAGGAAACAGTCCTGACCTGGCTACAACAACTACTGCCAGTGGTTGCCAGAAAGAAGAAGAGGTAGTGCAACAAGAGCAGGGAGTTGTGAAAATTCCTTATCGAACATCTATGCGTCCGTGCTATGACTCTCTAGTGCCACCTGAAAATTACCATGTCGACAAAAATCATACAGAACAAGAGGACCAGAACAATATGGCCTGTGTAGTGCTGCCGCAGTTTCTTTTAGACGTCGGGCGTGATTCAGACGGAGAGAAAGAAAATGGTAATAATACTTCAACAATCTTCAAGACTCCTGGCCAAAGACCTTCTGAACGACATCAAAGACGAAGGGATCTGCATCTCCAGCGCTTTCTGAAGGACGTCGCTCAAAGCTTAAGCCTGACACCAGAACTAGTTGTGACCTCACCTTCCGAGGAGGTTGAAGAAGATGGACTACAGAAAAACGAGGACGCTCTTGCACAAAAAGACGCTACAACTAGTGAATTCCCAGACGAAACCGCCATCGAGCTGAAACAGAAGATGCTGTTAACATGTCCAGCGGACGACAAAGAAGAGGCAGCCTATAATTCTAGGAGGAGTAAAACAGAGCCGACTGGAGGAGCGTCGAAGAAAGAAAGTAGTAGCTCAGGAGGGAATGTGGCATCGATAGAGTCTGCGATAGAAGCAACGACTCTTTATCCTGGACCACGGACGGTATTATTATTATTAATAGCTTGAGTGCTAACTAGTAGTTGTACTCCTTTTTATATCTTGTTCTCGCGAAGTATACTTTAGTAAGTTTGAAACTTCTACTTTACGAGGAGCACAGCATGAGAAACATCAGAATAAGGTTAACGGCAGTCCAGTGGGAGAAGGCCATGCTGCTGCAGTACATGCGGCCGCGCGCTCTCTCGGTGCGTCCGTTTCCTGCTCCGTGGTTAGTCAAGAGTCCTATTGTGCGACGCCTGAGGACATGTTCTACCCTGCCACCACCCCAGCAGGCGTGCTAGTTTACTACTACAACGTCTACTGCCAGCAACAGGAACAACAACAGCAGCAGGAACAACAGTACGGCAATACAATACAAAATCAGAATTTGAATTCGTATCAGTCGCAGCTACAAGTACAACAGGAACAATTTGAAACCTTCCAGTCACAAGCAAGTATGTCGCAACAACAGCTTGTAGTTGAAGAGACCACGACGACTCAGAATAACTCGGACTCTCAGCATAACTCGGACTCTCAGCAGAATTTAGCGATAAGTGGAGGAAATGCACAAGATGGTATCGGACATATAACATGTAATTGTTGTGATTTGTTTTCCACGTTTAAGATTTGTGTTTGCTTCTAACAAGAACAACACTCTTTCGTAGGTTATTTTTGCATTTAGAAAAACGTCCCTCGAAGTGCAATTAGTGTAATTGTAGGTCAAGAACTACACATCACCTCAACAGCGGCCACGGAAACAAGCAACAAAAAGACGGCAGGAACAAGAAGTTTGCTTCAGATTGATCTTGTACCTATGTTTGCGGATCGTCAGTTTGGCAGTACTAAAACTATTCGAACGACGTCATCCGACACCACCAGTCCGTTGCAAAAGCGTGAGCGCGCAGCTTCTTGTCCGTCGGTTTCAAGAGAAACTAGGAGGCGCGTCCGACGAAAAGGCGACACGAGGGACGCGATAATGTTGAAGAACAAGTGCCCCAACAACGACGTCGAGAACATTAATATTACAGGTCTCCTTCCATCTCCAACTTCTAGGGCTACAGAGACTACGACAGAAACATTTGCACCAGTAGTAGCGTCGCCTTTATCAGGAACATGGAAATGCGTCTTTGATACGCTTCCCATCATCCCCAGTCTTACAACAAAAGCCATGTTGGGGAATGACGCTGCTGAGGGAAAAGTAAGGGGCCAAAATAGCAACCTGCCTGGTAGTAGTAGTAGTAGTAATCCTGCTGTGAACGTTAAGTTGTCTCGCCCTAATCCATCTTCTGAAGCATTCTGAGTAGCCTTTTCAAGGGGAAAAGGGGAGCATGATTAGAGTGAGCTTTACGCAAAAAAAGGGGAGGATAGATTAGAGTGAGAAAAGGGGAGCATGATGCTTTTCAGGATGGATCAGGGTGAGCTCTAAGAACGGGCATCAACCTTTCGTCCGATATCCGGAAGGGCACTTTGCGTGCGCTGCCTCCTTTGTGCGGTGGACCGTCGGGTCGCTGCAGAAAGATTCCCCCTGGATCGCAAAAAACATCCTGAATACTGATTATGATAAGGTGTAACATAAATATACAACCGGTTAGTTTTTACCTCTGTCACGTAGATGTATCCCTTCAAGCAAACTAATATTCCTGGTTACTTAGACTATTGTACGAAGTAAGTGTGGAGGTTCTTAGACTCATTGTACAAAGTAGTATGTGTTGGTAGTGAAGATGAAAGACGGCTTTGCCATTTTTGCATATCGACATAAAAAACTGCGACTGGCGTGATTTTTTCGTAACTAAAACTAAGATGTGGAGGGTCGACACGGTTTCTCTAACATAGCGAAGCTGCCAAAGTCGCTCCTTCCGTGTCCGCTGAAGCACAAAAGGCTTTACCAGCAAGCGAAGTTGTTTCTACGGAGACACGATTACCAAAGGTAGCAGCATGTGAAAAAGGGGGAGCATTGGTTCATAAGCACCCTACTAGTACTTCCACCTCATCTGCTACGACCACGACGAATAAAGGAGGTTATTCAACATCGACAACAGATAAAGGAGGGGCGTCTAAAACGCAGGAGCAGCAATGGCCCGCGCAGCCGACAGCGGCTTCATCGTCGTGGTTTCAACCAGGCCAGTCGTCCTACTATGGAAAAAACAAAGGCGGATACAACAGTAGCGCATCAGGAGCATCGAAGACGGGCGACAAAAAGGGAAGCTTTCGATCAGGAAGTGATACCAAGGGATTTCCACCTTCTTCTAAGGGGAAAGCGCATGAAACATTTCCAGAACAATGGGGTGGCAGTGGTCATGCGATTACAGCGTTAGCAGGAAGCAAAGGAAGATCAAAAAAAGGCAATTGTAGTGTCTCAACTGGTAAAAACAAGGGCAGTAAATCTGGTAATTCTTCAAAGTGCGGAACAGGAACTCTTGGAGGTGACGAGGCAGATGAATCTTATGGTGGAAGCGCTGCTGGTGCGAATTTGCTGAAAAACACTGCTCTTGTTTCCTCCGCGAGGACACCGCCACCTGGGAGTGCGTTCGTCGAAGTCGTCTCCATGGTACCATCTCCGCACCAGGGAACCACAACAGGTATGCCGGTACCCTTTTCGCAGTTTCCAACGCCTGCTCTGAGTTGTGCTTCAGTTCCATATCCGAATACGCTTGGTGCGAACGGATCCAACTTGGCAGGAGGAGCAACCCCATTGTTCGCACCGAGCTGTGTCGACCCTCTGGTGCCGCTCCTTCCGGCTTGCTCCGGTCTTCCTGGCCCTTTTAGTGCTGAACTAGGACCGATGGCAGTATCGAACAACGTTCCTATTCCGTTCGCACCAACAGGTACAACTACAGCGCCGACTGATGTAGTTACGGGTGTTTTTACCACAACTACTGGTATCACTGGTGGTGCTGCATCAACTGGTATGACTGGTAGTTTTCCGCAGAGTAGTCCGCCTCCGAGCTTGGAAGCGCTTGGCCTGGCGCCTGTGATCCCCTTTGCAGCTCCACCAGGAACTTGGCCGCATCTGCCTCCGAGCTCCGCGGCTTCGACGCAGGCACCTTCGATCTCGTGGCCTTCGGCTCCTGGCACTTGTAGCGACTTGGAGCAACTGCTAGCACCTGCTAATTCCGGGCAACAAGTAATCGGTCCACCTCCGAGTAGTACTTCTGACGGCCTAGTGAGAGGACCCTTCGATCTGCTATCCACAGCCGGATCGCTCTTGCCTTTCGGCGGCAATACCATGGGTGCACTTCCTAATCCTCTCGCCTTTCTCACTCAAGGAGTTACCCCAGCGCTACCACCAGCACCACTCTCGTCTGCAAGCGCTACCAGTTCCGCAAGTATTAATATCATGGGTATCACTTCCCCGAGTACGACTTCTCAAAATAGTATAGCGAATGCGCATCAACACTTGTTGAATAGCATGGATAACGCGAATGCGCATCAACACTTGTTGAATACCATGGATAACGCGAATGCGCATCAACACTTGTTGAATAGTATCATGGATACTAGGACAAGTTCTATGATGTTGAATCTTCCCGCGACGAGCAGTACTAGTGGAATGATCAGTGTTTCTTGTCCTCCACTGCATCCTCCGTTTCCCCTTAGCGGTCCGCCGCCACCATCGATTTCACCAAGCTTCTTTCCGGCTTCAACGTTTCCAGCAAGCGCGCCTAACCTTCATCTTGTGGGCGGTGCTGGTGGAGGTGACAGCAACTACAACAACAACATGATAGTATCTTCTTCAAGCATGATACCCCCTTCAAACTCCAACATTAATACCATCTTCAATACGACATTGCCGCCACTGCCACAGGAGTTGCTCTACAATTTCAAGAATGACGTTTTCGTTACTTCTAGTGGCACCACAACGAATTCTGTCATCAATCCCAATGGCCCTACGCAGCAGAACTCGCAGTGCAACATACTACCACTCCCACCACGTCCACAGCTTCCTCCTTGGTGAGTATGGTGTCAAAAGGAACTGCAGTTATAACAAATTGGCAAAATAATAACAACTGTGGTCAATTTGACGGGTATGCAGTGTTTCTAATTATATATTTGTCCTCCAAAAATAAATACACAACTGTGGTAAGGGATGATTGAAAAAAACGCCTGTAGGCCAATGAGAAGTTCACATACCAACATTCATGTAACAGATTAGCCAAGGGCTAAGTAGCAAATCAGCGCTCTCAAATGAAATCATTCCACCTCGCTCTCGAATAACATCATTCCATAAAAGTGCTACTTACAACAGCACTTGTATCACACATGACACTGGAAGATTGATAATAATGTATGACGCATACACAACACAGCATAGAGGGCATGGAGAAGCGTTCACGACTTTCGACAGGCTCAATTTTGCGTAACACACATTTTTGCCTCGATAGAATCGCGCATGCAAACATAATATGCGAAAAAATGTTTGACGTTAAGTAAGAGAAAATGTTTTTAAGGAGTTGCAGTTGTATCTACCCGATGCTGATTTTTTTGCAGTTTATCACAATCGCGTGGGGTTAAGTAAAAAAGACAGATATCAATGTAGGTAATCCTCGCAAAACAATACAATAACAGACTAGGTAACAAACTATCATGAATTTTTTTCTGCCAGTAATCGGTGGCCACTGACTCTGTAAAATCACGTTATAATGCTGTGTAGTAAAAGATAACAAGTGCGTAGCAATTAGTTAGAATGAATGTTCGTTTAGAATTTTCTATAAGTACATACATTAGTCCGTAAAAAAGTATCACTATTTCTCGATCTCAGTCGCTGCAGTATCTCAGGTCGCCTGTTTTTCATGAGAACCATTTTTCATTCTTCGTGTTTCACTCTGCCAAGTAGGACTCGGTCAACGAAAAAATACTCTTCTACTTCTGAAGTTATGTGTTTGTGACACGGCCGCGAGAGCCTAGACGAGCGTAGCCGAAGTCACTCACTGAAATGAAAAAGAAAGTAGATCATGACGCGCACTGTAGTAGTAAAAAATCAGATTCCATTTCCAAGAATGCCGAAAAGAAAATAAACATGATCTGACTGGTGCATCACCACACTTGTATATAGAACAAATGCTGTAGCAGCACCACCACATAGCAAATAACATGGCGTGTTTACGCGTGTATAGCTTATCTCACTTCTATCCATGGTGTCAAGAAGTATCACATGGTCTTCAGAGTAAGGAACGCGTGTGAGTTTTTTTACATACAGATGCGGATTGTCGAAACAAACGACACGAATTTAATTTAAACGAGTGAGTGTCACGACCTCCGACAAATTCCTGGTATAAAGCAGAACATACAGAAGTTGACGAATTGCCGTGTCAAGACACGAAATCAAAAGGCAGTGCAGTTCTTTCTATCGTTCTCTCGCTTGTGTATCCTTGTGTT